ATAAAACATACATAAAATATATAAAAAATAATAATATTACTTAAATTTCACTTACCACTGCTTGATCCACTACATTGTAAGAAGAAAATGTTAAAGTGATTCAAAGGAAAGAATGGAGGAAAGGAAAGCAAGAACAACTTGTGGACAAAAGAGGAAAATGAAAATGAAAGGAGAAAGACTAGAATGAAAGGAGAAGGGTGGTTTGGCAGGGTAATAGGGACTCTTATCGACGAGATCTACATTGTTGCAATCTAAAGCTGATCATCTCTGCGTTGCATCAGAATTCTCGTTGACGTGGCCAATCACTGACAAAGATCTAGTTGGAAAAATATATCTTACTAACCCAAACCTTGTTGGTAAGCTAAATAAAAACTGCAACACCAGGCGCCAATAGCCAGATTCGCTGGGAGTTGGGAAATGGGAAATAGCCGACAAGGATGATGTCGGAATATTGCATAAAGCTGCACTTCTTGACGCAGGCAGCCATCTGATTGACGGGGTTGGGTTGGGAGTGGGAATTATCGAGAAGATGTACGTTGGCCAATTTAGGCTGGTATTACTGAGAAGACTCATGTTTCCAAAATGAATTTACAGGGCTCCTCTTCGTCGGTGATTTGGGTTTCCGTCCTCCTCCCACTGGATTGAGTATTGGTTGCAATTACCATCAAAGAACACGTATGTATTATGTTAGTTTACCGACAAATATTTCGTCTAAATGATAAATAATATATATTACTGCTATTTCTACTGTTTCTGGAATTGCAGACTTATTTCTTGTCAGTAAAATGATGTTTCATTGAGAAAAATTCTTACATCAACGATATGTTGTCAGTGAAATTGAGTTTTCTTGTAGTGATAATGAAACTTTTTTTTTGAATAAAAATAATGGAATTTATAATTATAGTTATAAATATAAAGATATTAAATAACAAATAAAAATAATTAAAAAAACTCAATTTATCAAAACTAAAATCTTTAATCTTTTTATCATTAACAAATTCTTTATTAAGAGGGGTTGAGTTTAAAAAGAATAGACGTCGGACAACAAAAAACTAAAGTGCCGATGCCTTCGCTGTATCCGTAGAGGAGTACGCGTCGGGGAATTTGGACCAAAATGCAAAATTTATTGGTCCCTTATGTTTCATCAATTGACACTTTGGTCCTCATAGTTTTGATTTCTTTGATTTGTTCCTAAAAATTCTGACTTCTTTCAATTAAGTCATTCCTATACAAAGGAATGTAAATTATATAACATCAAATAAAATCTTATAAAATTCATTCAATTATCAATAATATCAAAGCAAAAATTCAATTCAAACAATGATACATATACCTTACAAAGTTATACATTCTGTTGCATACTCCGTCAAGGTATAACAGGAGCTGTTAGTTTTAACGACATAAATAACGAAAATTATTAGTTTTAGCAGCACAAATAACAAAAATCGTTCATTTTAACAATACAAATAAGGGAAATTACCAATTTTAATGGAATAAATAATGGAAATTATCAATATATAATAGAATATATAATTTTGCAAAGTATATATATATCATTTTTCAATTCTATATTAACATCTATGAAATTTTCAAACTCATTAGGTTTTCTTTATTTTTACCTTTTGAGTATGAATATTGCTTTTTCTTTTCTTTTCAAAGAAAAATAAGAAATTAAATCATAGGAAATGCACTCTAGAATCATAGGAGGTATTGCTCGAAATCTTCATTTTCATAAAGATTCTTACATACAAGTTATTCATTATGATCTTAAACCCAACAATGTTTTACTAGATATTGAAATTAATTCAAAAGTTTCAAATTTTGGCATAGTAAGATCGTTTGTAGTTGATGATCAAACTCATGATACTACAAGAAGGGTTGTCGGAACACAATAAATGTAATAGTCCTTGGATGCCCATTTTAGCTCTTTGTATATCCTTGATAAATTTTTGTTTATATATTTTATAAAATTTCAAATTACAGTAAATAACTCACTTCAGAATATGTTAAATATAGACGCTTCTCAGTTAACATAGATGTCTTTAGTTTTGGTGTAATGATTTTAAAGATCGTGAGTGGTCAAAAAAATAGCTCTCCCCCACATGTAAAGGATGGTGTAAACCTTATAAACTTGGTAAGTGTATGAGATTAAAATATATGAAATTTATATCTTAAGAGATTAGGTCTTTTGTATGCATCTACGAACTTGGTAGTTAATTCCAACATGTCCTGCAACCTATCATCTTCGAACTTCGATTTTTCCAAACAGCAAACACAATCTCATTTTGAGATTAGGCAGAGAATATTTTGGCACAGAACATGGAAGAAAGCTCTGATTGATTTTTCCTAAACACACAAAGACCACAAAATTGAAGTCCATAAAATAGTACTACAGTCTTATCCTGTACATGGCTATAGGCAATGGGTTCTTTAAAAAGGTTTTTCTTTGTTTCTCTTTCTAGTATATGAAGCAGATGAAACCTTGTATAAGTAGATCTGATGGAGATGGAATAAGTCCAGAGATCAAACAAAATGACATGAATCAAATAACACGCTGAATTTAAAAAATTAAAGTATTTTTACTTACATGAAAGAAGACATGTACAATATATATAAATATTGTCCTAGTACTCTTAGTTGTACCCTCAATTCTCAAAACCTATCCGGATTCAAGATATAACTTCGATTGAAACATTGTTTCTTTGCCAAGGGGAGTGATTGTCCTTTAAGTTCTTCGCTCGTGATCCCATGAATTGTATCCGTTTGAGGATGATTTGTCTGATTCAGTGGTGTTGTCCAAAAAAAATGCAGACTGTAAGGGCACCGGAAGAGTGGTTGTGTTGCTATTAAGCATGTGAACAACTGCAGCCATGGTTGGTCGGTCAACAATATTTTCTTGAACGCATAGCAATCCAAGATGGATGCATCTCAACATTTCAGTCCTTTGAACCATTCCGCAAAGTTGTATCTATGAGATTTATTCCGGTCCCTTCCCTCCAATTTTTCCACGCCTGCAAAATTTTATAAATACAAACACGAGTACAACATTAAAATAAGATGATGCTAATTAAAATTTGAACTTTTATTTGTGATAAGGAAACAAATATTTAGATTTTTATATTTATGTAGGTTAGTAGATCCACTATGTTCTCCCCATTTTGGAAACAACTATTTTCTTGACCACTAACAATTTCTAACTTTAACACTCCAAAATTATAGATATCAAACTTTTCTAAGAACTGTTCATACATTGCACATTGTGGAGTCATATATCTACTACGTACATATCAATGTCAAATAAATTTTAATATAAAAATTTAAGCATAGCTTAAAAAGTCATGTTCTAGTTTTTTTTTAATGCAATACATAATAAAATATTCATTCTTAGTACTTTCTTGTTCTAGAAATTGGGTAGGAAAATCAACTCTAAGTTGTACCATTTTAGTTGATATTGATAATTTGAATTCCCTTTAAGAGACTAAGTTTCTACAATTTTACTAGTATTGCCTTGTGTTTCATCTTTTACAGATAACCTTGCCATGCCAATATTAATAATTTTAAAATTCATATCTTCATCTAATACAATATTACTTATTTTGAGATCTCGATGAATAATTTGAAAACGAGAATCCTCATGAAAGTAAAGAAGACCACAAGCATTGCCTCCAATGTGGTCAATTAAGTAAATACAAAATTTTGATGCCTGCAAATGTAGGATTATTAGCATTTGATTACCTTGTAAACTGCTCCAAACCCTCCTTCTCCAACCTTATTTTCATCACAAAAGTTATTAGTTACTGCCTGGACAGTGGCGAAGTCATATTGCAAGGATTCAACCTTAATTAGTTCATCTGCAGCTGCCATAAACAATACACAGGCGCAAGATTAATTGCATTCTCCAGTAGGAGTGGATTGCTAACATGTTACCTACTTTCAATTTCAACAGTTTCTTTTAGCTTTTTGCGTCTTGAAAACATCCAAATACAGAGGATAAGCAACAGAATGCCTACAAGTGAAGCAGCCAACGAAATGATGATTGTTCGATTTGTGTTGTTTCCATTTCCTCCAAAACGGGGAAGTTTGGACCCATCACAATCATCACCATTTGAAATTTAAATAAAAATGCAAAAATAGTAATCATTGCATGTGAAATGTCAGTACTGCTTATTTATTCAAATATTTTTAATTAATTTTATTTGTAAGTTGATTAATTAAAAGTATTTAATTTTTTCATCATTGTTGGTATTTTCATTAACAAAAAAAAATCCCGATTGTTCTCAACCTCGTATAAAAATGTTTTTATCAATTGTGATTAATTTCAGTGAGTAGAACATAGAAAAAAAAATTTCTTAAGGTTGTACTTATGGATGCAATAACTTCTCCAAAATGGGGAAAGATGTCTACTTTACCTTACGTTGGAGGTGAAGACGGCTGAGGAATGTCATCTACAGGCCCCAAAAAATGGGACAATCTCATATCTCAAGTTACAACTTGGTTGCAGAATCCTGCATCCGGTCATCCCATTACAGAAACTTCCAACCCTTGAAATGGCCGTAGGCAGACAATCGCTACAGTCCTGTTGGGACAAATCCGGCGTGCATTGCACTAGTGCATATTATTCCCAAGGACATCAGGACCGTCGTGTTGTCTGCCGCATACTTGCGAAGAGGGCCTCCAGCGGCCGCACAGCTGCTTAAATTCTTCAGCAAGGAACTCAAGGCCCGGCCGAAAAGCAGTGACATCTGATGCATTACCTCTACTAGATAGTGGACGAAAGGGATTGGTTTCCATGACCCCAAAAATTTCTTGGCTTGAGTAGTGTAAAGTGCAGAATTCCGACCACCCGATTGCTTCTTTGTAGTTGGGACAGCGCTGCTGGAGCTCGGAGACCATGTCGTTGAGGCAATTGCTGCAAGCGTCCTCCCTTTTGTTTGCCCTGCAGAGTCCGATTGTGTTGACCTGGTCGGAGCTCTGGCCGATTGCAATATTATAGAACCCATAATTGAAAACCTCGTCGGAGGTGAGTTGGGAGAAAAGACGATCGAGCTTGGTCTCGCAGGTACTCTCGGTAGAGAAGTTGCCAATGTTAACACAGCCAACCTGGAAAAAAGGATTGGCCGCCGAACAGAGATTTATGGG